CGTAAAACGCTTTGAGCAGACAGTAGCTGTTACCCGACAACTCATGATGCTGTCTTACCGGCCTAGATTAGAAACTGGCCAGCTCTGCTCTGTGAAGCTATTCTAACACTGGCCTACGAAGCCCAAAGCAGAATCCAAAAAATTGTGTATGGAGTTAAGGAATTCTGACTACATCACTGCCTGGAGATGAATCTAAATCCCATCCCTTTACCCTTTCCAGGTCCTGGTAGCGTTCTGACCACCTCTGGGTCTGAGTGAAATGAAACTCTAATGAACCCACGTTTCCAACTGAGTCCCTCACTACCCTTCCTAAAGCAGGCACCCATGCTCTATTTCTGCACCAGGCCTTGTGAGATCAGAGGTCGGATGTGATCAGTGAGGGAACCGGGCTGAGTCAACGGTGCCTTTAGCACATTCCTGGAGAAAGACGTGCGGGTGGAGGATGCCCTAGCAGAGCCCGGCCCGCCGCAGCAGCGCCACAGAACACCGCCTGCTCACGGCGTGTGGCCTGCTCCGGAGCAGTGGCAACAAAGAGCAGGCCACACGCTTCTTCTGCAGCAGATGCAGAAGAGCTCTGGGCGACTCGGCTGGCAGCAGCGTCACGGTCGCCTTGCACGCGCCCAGGTCCAGCCCACAGTGGGGCTCACAGACAAGGGAATTCCAAGAGTAAGCTGGGAGAGTGAGAAAGGGAAGACAAGGAGCACGCTGCTCTAACCACATCCCGATACCCAGGGTCACCAGGGAACCACGTCCTCACTCTTACATCTTCTTTTCCTACAAAGTGAGATCTTAGCAGCTCATTAGTCACAGAAGGAAACCAACTTTTGTTGAGCAGCTTCTACGGACCAGACAGTGTGACCCCTTCACATTTTTTACTTAAACCGTATCCTCAAAGGAATGCTGGAAATAGTTTATCTTTTTTCTCCGAAGAAAAACTACTGTTTCATTAGCAAGTTATTACAGTAAACCTTGTGAAAGCTGGAACCTGTCAGAGAAAGAAAATACAAATATTCCCCACTAAAAGGAGCTATAGAAAAGCAGTAAACACTGCATCCTGTCAAAAGCAACAAACTTTGTAACACCCAGAAAAATAAGGCAGTCCCATCTCTTTCCAGCTCTCACAGGTTCCACTGTGTAACACCCCCACACGCCCCCACAATTACGTTAACGAAGGACATCCCAGTCTGAAATTATCATGAATAAAGAGAGCTAGCATCCATCGGAAACTTCCCAATCCGAATCGGCAGGGCATCACTCAGCACACATCCAAACCTAAGTCCCCATCCGCATCCCAAAGCCGTTCCCTCTGAGGCCCTGCCACTCCAGGAAACACCCTCGTCATCCTGTTATTTCCATCCCACCCAAATCCATCCACTCTGCCTTCCAAACAGAAGCAAAATTCCCAACACTTCTCAACCAGTTGACTGTCACTTCCACCCCACCATTACCTCTCATCTAGATTGACGCCACAGCAGGCAACTAACCCATCTCACAGCTTCTAACGCCTGCCCCCATATTCTATTCTCAACCGGCAGCCCTGGTGTATCCGATGACATCATTTATCAGTTAAAAACGCAACGCCTTCCCATTTCACTAAGAGCAAAGCCCAAGTCCTCACTGTGGACTATGAAAGTGCACAAGATGTGGCCCCGTGCTGCCTCACTGATCTCATGGCCCAGGGTCCGTCCCTCACTGGTTCTCTTCTGCTCCTACTGGACAGCATGGTAAGAACAACCCCACCTCAGGGCCTCTCCCTTCCAGCCTCGCCACAGATGTTACCGTCTCACTGAAGTCTCAGACCACTTCAGTCGAAGCTCCACTCTGAGCCAAACACTCCTCACCTCTCTCCTCTGCTTCTGCTCCTCGGCACTTAGCATCTGCCGTGAGTGAGTGTGCCTACACAGGTGTGCGCACAGCTGTGCACACGCTCATTTGCTCACTCGTCCCTATCCTCCCTCACTGGACAGAAGGTCCAATGAAGAGGACGTTTGCCCATCGTGTTCAGTCCTCTACTCTCAGCGCCTGGCACGTGGGAGTCACGCAAATACTTGGTAATGAAATAGAGTTCCAACTTTTTAAGAAGTGCTGTTACCTAAGAACATGCATGCCTTGCTAGATGAACTCTAGGGCACTCCTGAGCTGCAGGGAACAAAGGCTTCGTGTGTGCGTGTGCTGGTCACCGACCACCTGTCTACTGCCCCTCCCGTTACCCAAATTAAAAAGGGTTTGGAGACAGCATCTTCTACCTAATCACATTTTGGTTTAACTATTGTTATAAAACAACAATGGCGGTTTCCTTCTCTTTGGCTAATTAGGCTGTGAAGGAGCGCTGTAAGCAGGACCTGAGTGTGAACCTCTGAGGCCCGTGCTAGTGAAGGGTGGGAGGTGCAGACCCTGCCCCATCACTGCGCGTGGAGCAGCGTCCGCACAGCCCAGGAGCAGACCACACGCTCAGGCGCTCCCAGGCCTGTGGGGTCTCCACCTGTAGCCCCTCCACGCCCTTGTTAACGTGCTCCTCAGTGATGGGAAAGCAGCAGCAGCACCTGGTAGCCTGTCTTCCTGCTGGAAGGAGACAAAAGGGAAGCGAGACCCCTCTTCCATCGTCTCTCCCAGTGGCAGGAGGCAGAGACCCCCCCAGGCCCAGCACACAACACCTCCCCCACTTCTGAAACTCTTGCCAATTTTCAGAGTTTGGGGGTCTAGTCAAAACACCCAGGTTTTTGGGCACAATTACAACACACCACATTTCATTCACTATCAATTCCCAACGTGACTGAAGACAACACAGGCGGTGTGTGGATGCACTGGACATATGCTGGCCCAATGGGGTCAAAGGGTTCAAGTCCTTAACCAACTCCCTCAGTTCATGAAATGTTGTACCCGAGAGGTCAGGGGCACTTGAAGCTGACGCCATGCCACATGATGGGGAGAGACAGGCCAGGGTTTGGCGTGAAGAAACACACCCTCAACTGGACAGTAAGCAGGGCGATAGGCCATCGTGCTGACTCAGCACACGGTGCGGCCCCAGCTGCCCCAGCCCTGTGGCTCTGTGGGAACCAACTCCCGGGCAGTGCCTGAGCCAGTCTAAGTCTCACCAGGACGTCTACTGCGTCTGTCTGGGTGGCAGGGGCAGGAAATATGCAATTAATTGCTTAACTGCCTGTCCCCACATGTGCTGTCTGAGAAGAGCAAGGACAAAGGCTTGTCCCCAGACTTGATACCTAGCACGCAGAGGGGCTCTCACTGAGCTCACTGACAAAGCCATGTTTGTAATATTCACAACCTGGAACACAGCAGCCAACCCAGCTGGGGTATTGCCTGACAACATGCTGAGCAGGAGACCGAGGGGCCGGGAGGTTGCAGGGAAAGTCTCCTGTGGTGGAGGGTGAACGAACACACATCCTTCAAAATACGGAACATCCTACAAATTTCACAAAGCTAACCTCCTCTGTCGGGAAGATGTATGACTACAGAGACGACATGCAAGAGAGGCTCATGACGTGTTCACATCCCACGGTGCGTTCACAGGACCGTGGTGACATCCTGGGTCTCTGACCTGGCTCAGGCTGTGTTCACACAACAGTCGTGACATCCCAGGTCTCTGACGCAGCTCACAGTGAGTTCACAGAACCAAGGTGACACCCAAGGTCTCTGATCTGGCCTATGTTGTATTCACAGGACCATGGTGACATCTGGGTCTCTGACTCGATTCATGCTGTGTTCACAGGACCGTGGTGATGTCCCAAGTCCCTGACCCAGCTCACGGTGCGCTCACAGGACCAAGGTGACATCCAGGGTCTCTGACCTGGCCTATGTTGTATTCACAGGACCATGGTGACGTCCTGGGTCTCTGACTCGATTCATGCTGTGTTCACAGGACCGTGGTGATGTCCGGGTCTCTGACCTGGCTCAGGCTGTGTTCACAGCACCGTGGTAATGACTGCTGGCCTCCTTGTTGGGCTGTAGCACACTGAGACACAGAAGCCACCTGCACTAACTGGTCCCACACTGCTCCTTTTTCAAACAGTCATCTCTTAATTTGTGATTCTTCCGACTCCTGGACTCCCCAGGGCCATCACTACAACCATCTTAAAAAGCCACTATCCCACCACTTTGTCAGGGGTCTGTGTTTGTCAGGCAGGCTACAGGGGAGACAGGCCCTTCAGAGACTGACACACAGCAGGGCCTCGCAGCTGGCCTGTAGCATCCTGGGCCTTCATGAGTCCCCAGTTTCTAAGCCGTGTTGTCAACAGACGAGGGTGCCTACAGTGGACATGGTACTGTCTGTCCCACATTCAAGACCTGTAGTCCCTGGATCTCAGGTCAGTCAAAGGCCAGACACTGGCACTCCCCCGCAGCCTGGTACTACCTCAGCCTACGTCAAGGCTGCCTCAACCAGCAGGTGGCATGTGCTTACAAAAGCAGACGCTTGTCCCCAGCTCCAAAGGCAAGACCGACAATACTTACCTTACAACCTGATGTGTTAAAAACAAACAACAAATCCATTCCAAAGTCCAATATAATTTTAAAAATAATTATCAATGCCATTATTCCCTGGTTAAAAGTACTAATTTGTTAAAGATTTTAAAGTTGGGATTTCAAAACAGTCTACAAAACGCTTCCCCGTAAGAGTGACCTGAAATGCGGGTGACCACCACCAGGGCCGTGACAAATGCTCACAGGGCACCTGCGCTCAGGCAACACAGCCAAGCCAGTGAGTGTAGGCCCCGGGGGAGGCCCAGGCCCCAGAGGTGGGGAGCTCCGCATGCTGCGGGAGGCGCCGTCAGCAGCTTCTCAGACCCTACTGTCCCAGGCATGTAATCAGGCGCTGATGAGACAAATGAGAAGAATGCTGGGAATACTGACCTCTCCTCCTGGCAGAGACATGAACTGATCCTTGGTCCACAGTTACTGGGCCAATGGGAGACCTGTCACATCTTTCTGAATGCGGGAAAGGCTAAGAGCACTGGACAAATGTAAAGGTAACCTTGTAAACCTACTAGATCCACCGTGTTCCTCTTGTTCGTTTCTCCTAAGGAGCTGGTGCAGAACGTCTCCCACCGCTCCCTGACTTCATCCGGAAGATCTTCAGAGAGAAAAACACAAGAGCATCATCAGCACAGTGACCTAGACAGAGAACAGCCGAGCCCACAGGTCACACAGCGCAGCTGCCCTGCTGAGATCCTGCTGACCCAGCCAAGCGGCTAGATGCCAGCCCCGTGCTTCTGCAAGGACTGAGGTGGAGAGCCCAGCCCAAGTCCCACCAACTCCAGAGCCAAAAAGACCCTCACTGCCATCAAGTTGCTTCTGACTCATTGTGACCCCCATTGGGTTTCCGAGGCTGTAAATCTTTACAGAATTAAATCACCCCATCTTCCTTCCACAGAGCAGTTGGTGGGTTTGAACCGCTGACCTTCTGGTTAGCAGTCAAGTGTCTTATTCACTTGTTACCAGAGCTCCTTACTCAGGAGCCAGAACCCCCAAACTGTCTGGGGTGGGTGTCAAGAGCCACAAGCATCCCTAGGGACTTCACAAGCATCTCAAGATGTTTCTAGGAGATATTTCACCTGGAAAGTGGGAGTGTTTCCAGACAGTGCTTCCAAGGTGACAGGCCTTGAGCAGGGGACCTGTCATTATCTGTGGTAAGAGGAGGAAACGCTGTGCACAGCTCCCACACACTCTCTGCAAACAAAGACTGGCACCTGCCCAGTCAATGTTCCACGGTACCCAGTTTGGTTCCCAAACAGCTTAGGACACGGTCTCCTGAACACCGGCACTGCAGGCCGGCACATGGACACACGTGCAACAGCGAGCCTCTATCTTTGAGAGACATCCTAAAGAGAACACACAAGTGTTTCTCTGAGAAGGTGACGGTGCTGGTGTAATGGTTATGCCATTTGGCTGCTAACGAAAAAGTCGCTGGTTTAAACCCATCAACCTCTCTGTGGAAGAACGATAAAGTAATCTGCTTTATAAAGATTTACAGCCTTGCAAACCAAGTGGGGGTCGCCAGGAGTCAGAGTCAACTGGACGTGAGTTCTTTTTCAGGTTTACTAGAAAAATCTCGTCATCTCACAATGATGCTTTAAGAGTGTGTGTGAGTATGTGCACACACATGCACACACGCCCACACACATGCACCCACTCACAGCCACTTACACGCATGTGTGCACACGTGCACACACTCACACATGCACACACACGTGCGCACACGCACGTGTGCACACACGCACACTGAGCAAATTTTATGAAAGAAAGGCTGATTTTAAAACTCAGTCCCAATCTGTGGCCATCTCTCTTGGGTCTCTCTTGGGAAAGACATGAACAGAAACTAATGGGCTAGCATACACATCTTTCGAGAAGCAAAACGCAAGCGAGGCCAGCTCCCAGTGGCCCAGCACTGTGAGGCCAGATGCCTTTAGCACACAATCAGTAGGTAAGGAAGGGCCCCTTCCACACACAGGCATTCTTGAAAGATAAACAGAAGGATTCACTATAAAATGATGCTGAGCACAGTAACTGGACCCCAGGGAGGTGACCGAGCCCCACTCCCAGTGAAGTCACACCACTGAGATCCAGAGGATATGAGCTCTAACGCTGTTGTTTCGCAGCAGATGGACGTGTGGCCTGAGTGCCAGGGGAGAGCGCCCACAGTGCCATGGAAGTGTCCTCAGGCTGGCACAGAAAGGGCCTTCAAGAGCCACGCCCCTTCTTTAGTGACAGAGATGGGGAAGAAGTGCTGGTAAATGCCAACTATGTGCAAGAGAGGGAGCTGACCTTTAGAGCCAGGGGTGTCAGAGGAAAACAAAAAGCAAGAATACTCACAGCTCCCTGGCTCAACGGCCAGCCTAACTGGTACCTCAAGCTCAAATCCTCAGAAGGATTTAGTGAGGAATCCTGAGAATAGACAGGCGACCGGTGTGCTGGCCTTGCCCGGCCACCACCGTTCACTAAAGGACTAGGAAACAAGAGTGGAGACGCCGTGAAGAATCGTGCAGGTGAAACAAACCCTCGAGACCCCCTCCCAGGTCGCAGATAATCGCATAACGTACACAAATCCCACCGACAGCCACGTGCAAGGCCGCGGGGCACTCCCACTGACCCCGAGCCTGCTCCAGCACAGCCGCCGAGGCTCACCTTTGATGAGCTGCTGCACCGCAGCGCTGTTGGGGCCCTTGTCCGCGCTGTGCACGATGCAGTTGGCGATCCTCGTCAGGTGGCCCATGTACCCGTGCCGCTGGCCTCCCTCCGCCCTGATGGGGTAAAGAACACGTGTTCAGATGCCAAATCTGACAGTGCTGAGGGCTTTGGTAACTACTGGGTATTTACAGAACCATTCTGAGACCATGGGCAGAGAAGACTGGAAAGGAAGGAATGGAGGGTGTCAGAATATTCCCAGCACCAGGAACAGAGATCACATGTTATCACTGAATTCAACACACAGAAATTGTTGGGAGAGAAAGAACACATTGTAGCCCTAACCTACAGAGCATAACTTACTTTTTTTTAATTGTGAGTTGGGTGAAAGTTTACAGAGCCAATTTACTTTCCATACAGCAGCTCACACATTGTCTCATGACACTAACTACAATTTACCCCAATGCAACAGCTCCCCTCCCACTTCCTCCCGATAGTTACCTCTTCCCTGTGTCCATCCCTCCATGCACTCCTGGCCGCTGAACTGTCTCCCTGTGCATTCACAGCCCTTCTTTCTCCCATGATTATTCTCTCCAAGGAGTATAGCTGCGTCAGGTATATGTTCAACTCATATGCCTGTCTTTTGTTTGCCTGGAAGCCACAGATGTGGGTTCAATTCCAGACCTGAAGGGCAGCTAGGGGCCATAGTTTCAGTGGTTCCACCAGGCTCTATCAGACCAGCAAACCTGTTCCCCCCCCCTTTATTTTTCCCAAATGATTTTGAGTTTTGTTCCACATTGTTCTCCCTCTCTATCCAGGATCTCCTCCACAGATCCCCCTCCAAGTGGTTGACAGTGGTAATGGGCACCATCTAGTTCTTCTGGTCTCATAATCGTATAGGCTGAGGATCGCATGGTGTATGGTCACGAGGACTAATTGTTTCCATGAATCTTTGATTTTCTTCATTCTTCTTTGCTCTGGACGAGGAGAGACCCATCATTTCATCTAGATGGTTGCTTGCAAGCTTTTAAAATCCCAGTCGCTACTCATCGAAGTAGGAGGTGGAACAATGTATGTTATGTATGTTATGCCAATTGAGCTTGATGTCCCCTGCAACTAAGGAGCCCTGGTAGCATAAGGCTGGCGGTTCAAACCCACCAGCCACTCCTCGGAAGGAAGATGGGGCAATCTACTTCCGTAGTGATACTGTCTCGGAAACCCAAGGAGGGGTCGCTATGAGTCAGGGCCGACTCGACGGCAAAATAACAACAACAACAACAACAAAAGCAATAAACTTTCTTTAAAACAG